GATTGAGACTAAATGAGAAGGTAGTGCTATCTCAAAAAATATTTTTTTTCTACTAGTCACTACTATAAGACAACACCCCTTACACCTATTTTCTAAAAAGGAATTTCTACCCAACCTAATGGGAACTAATATAAAACAGAATTTTTAAAGAAAGCTTCAAGATTGTTACCTTTTTTGATAGAATCATCGATAATATTTATGATTACAAAATATTGTAAACTTTTTTAAAACATGTTCATCTTTAATCGGAGTAAATTTTGTATTTAAATACCTATTGTAAAACGTGATAATAAATTATAATGTGTATTGTAGAATACCGACTTCCGTCAATTTTATTACGAAAGAGATGTGGTGATTATTAATTATAACTTGAGAATATTTTATCGGATCGTCAGATAGACTTGGAAGATATTAAAATCTGTCATCAGTTAAAATTTTAGACTTTCAATATTCAGTACGGTCCTGTAACCTCGAGAGCAGAATTAAAATTGTTGAATATGTCAATGGAGAATAATGAATACGACATTTTCGTATTGGCCTTCACAATATGGAAAATAATACCATCACAAATTCAATTAAAATCAATACCATTTCATACTCTAATCTTTTTTGGTTGCTATCGTTGCGTAACAATTAAAATTAGTCATTTATAGTAACAATCTCGAAATTGCAAATGATTTATTTCGGAAAATTAAGTAAATGCAGAAGTTAAAAATAAAAGTTGACAAATGAATGTTCTCGTAGATAAGAATATTGTTATGTAAGTTACACTTTTACCTATTTGTCATAAATAAGACACAGCTGTTGAAAAAAATTTATAACGTTATCATCACGGAAACAGTTTTTTACCTGCCTGATAATTTATAGACATGTATTTAAAAAAAGTTTTATAACCGTATTGTCTGAAATTCCGAAAAAGAAATAAATTTTGTAATATTGGTTTGCATCAGTTATTGCTTCGCAATACGTTCGTATTGGGACTTCTTTTTCTCCTTGATGTTTCAGAAAAATCAGGATGAATGTCCACCTGGTTTCATCATCATCATAAGGTCATCAGTCCTAAGACTGGTTGGACACATACCTCCACTCTTTCCTATCCTGAGCTAAACTTCGCATTTCCCTAAAACTAGAACAGCCCACATCCTTAACTATTTGCGAACAGTAATCTAATCTAGGTCTACCTCTACCCCTCCTAACTCCTGTTTCTGCCTCTAATATGTCTCTGACTAAACCTTCATGCCTGAGAAGGTGTCCTACCAACCTATCTGGCCTATTTTTTTATTGACTTCCATAGACTCCTCTGTTCTCCTATTCTTTCCAATACCTCTTCATTTCTAACCTTTTCTACCCACGATATCCTCATCATCCGCCTATAACACCACATTTCGAACGCTTCTAACCTTTTCTTTTCCGTGCTCCAAACATACACTTTATGATTTTGTGTACCTGTTTGTATTTAAATATAGGATTCTGCATCATTTTACTGACAACTTTAATCAGATTTAATATGTAGTGCCAAACGTAAATAGAACATAAAAAATGTCTTGCCAGATTATAAATTTCGCAAATTTGAATTTGGCGAAATTTTTAACCTGGTAGACGATTCGTGTTTTTGGTTTCTAGTAAGCTTTTCTACGGTTGTTACGATTTCAGTTTTTGTAATATTGACGTACTTTTTTTTACTATGGGAAATTTCTACCATTCGGTAATTTTTACTATCTCTCACATTTCCGCTGCTCGGGACCAAGGCACCCTCTGCTTCTCCATCACTGTACGCCACTGTCTTTATTGGTAAAATTGGCTGTTGTACAGATCATTCTTTGTCTGCATGCGGATTATGTTCCAATTATTTTTATACCTACCGATATAAAAATACTAGCGCCAAAAGTCTTGGACCGTAAGCTAATGGATCCAAAATTCAATTTCTATATTTACGTCAAGAGAGCAGATTGCATTTACGATTGAATAAGCTTCACTGCCAAAATGGCTTTTTATACATTCGCAATGAAAGATTTGAATACAGCTAATATTAGCAAACATTTAAGTAAACTTATTCATTTGTTAATCTAAATAGAAAACCAACTTTTACCACCGTACCACAATATTCAGGTGTAGGTAGATAATAACAATATAATTTTAGACTTTTCAAGCAAATAAAAAATGGAAATGTGTACGTATATTATTACAGCGAGTGGTTTAAAGAAAAACATTAATTTTGTTTTTGTTATTACTGTTGCTTATGTTTCTGCTATCAACCTTTACGTTATTAGGTAACTTTTATGCAAACATCACATATATTTATGGTTGTTCTTATATAATAACAAATATAATGTGTAGATATTGATTTGTATTAATCGTAAGTAATTATAAATATGAAATCACAACACATGAGTAACAGCATACACAAAATACTCGGCAAAAAATAAAAGTATTCAAAAAGTGTAATGACAATGATTAATGATTCACTGTACACTTTTCGCTCTGAATATTGTCTAATAATTACATAATAAAATAAAATGTCATGTAAAATGTATGTTGCATGTAATAATCTAGAACAGGGTTCCTAAATGGTGTTGTGCGGAACCCTGGCGTTTCGTATTGAAATGCTAATAATGAAGTGTAGGGGCTCTTAAAAATCAATTTACTTTTTATTGTCGAAATGGGGTTCCGCTACGAAAAGATGGATGAATTGGGGTTCCTTAGCCAAAATAAATTAGGAACCCCTGATCTAGAGACTTGAAATTTTGCACAGACGCTGCTTATATAACGTAGGGTAACACTAAGGAAGAACTTTTTAAATGTCAACCCTTAAAGGAATGAAAAGGAGTGCTCAAAATTTAATATACCTATCGATCAAGGGACCGCCTAAACCTCTGAGTTAGGAAGCTTGATATTTTGTACAAAGATTCTTCATACATCGGTATCATTCACTATAAAATGAGTTTTCAAAATGCCACCCGTAAAGGTGTAAAATGAGGGTTTGCGATATAATCGAACAAAGTCGAGAGCTTTCGTATGAGATCAGTATGTGAAATGCGATTGATAAAACTGTACTAACCTTGAGTGTTTTAGAAGTTTTTTTAGGATTAACGAAACATTGTTGCACATTACCCATGCCGATGAAGATGTGTGCAATGTCGTTGCGACATAGGGTCGTATCCCTTGCAATTCTATTATCCAAAATGTTGCTTGTCACAAAAGCGGAAAGGTGCCTAGTATCGCGGCAAATGTAAGAGTAACTAGTCGATATTTTGAATGAAACACACTCAAAACTTTTATTCGATCGATTTTCGAAAAGTGCACGCAAAACACCGCAACCAAAAAATGAAAACAGTCCGAACGTAAATATTTTAAATTTCGAATTGCGAATCGCTGACTTTTTTCGCGTAAGTTGGTCGAGTTTTAAATATTGTTTGGTTTTGTTGTGTTGTCTATAATTTTGTATTTGTAAATGTGTGTGTTTTTATTTTTTGCGATGATGATATCATGCGTTGGGCAGGTTGCGCTGCGATGTGTCCACAAATCGCGTTCTATATACATGCATACGTGTTTGTAGCAGCGTATTACATACGTTAATGTTATTTTGTGTATTTACTATAATGTTATAGATCCATGTGTGTATTGTACCTGGTCACCTCATTCAATTGTTTAATGTTTGTTGTTGTACCATCATTTTTAAATAAGTGCGCTATTCGAGTCCTAGTTGAAGTTGAACGCTGCTCTTACATGAACCCGAACGTATTTTTCTTATTTGGATAATTCGGTAATAGATTATCAGAACCGGATTTTAAATAATTTACAAAATTTCAAGTAAAATATACCAAAATTTTAATTTTCTATATAAATAAAATCAAAAAATTTAAAAAAAATCAAAAAATTTCTAAGAATGTAAACATACGGTCAGGATCTTAGCCAAACTGTGTAATCAAGACAGGGTCAAAAACAAAAAAGAACAGGCTGAATATCGAATTTTTCAACATCTATGTCCACATATTTCGCAAATGTTTTAGTTCATTTTTTTACAGTAGGTTTTAGAAACAATATACTACTTAGTGTTAATTCTTGATCCTTTTCGAAAAATTAAACTACAAAGTATTTGTAATACACATAATGTATAGACAACCCAACCTACAACAAATATTACAACCCTAATAATGCAACCAAAGTTAAAAGCCATTTTTTCTCGCGAAAACAACTTTACTACTTGAAATTACTCGATAATAAACAAACAAAATATTACGTAGAAATAATTACATGGTTATTTTAAATTTCACTTCGTAGAAACCTTAATTTTATTAGATTTGCCTTACTTTATCAAGTATAATGCCACTTTTTACGATGTCATTACGTAGATTAAGACATTTCCTATTTTTTTTTTGCAGAAAATGAAACTTACAGTATATCAAGCAATTACTGCTGTTCTGGGATAAATCTAAACATTATTTTAATAGAAATTTTACTCTGAACATCGTATGCAGTAAAGCAGTGATACCAGTACTCATTTACAGTTCATCCCAATATGGAGCAGTGCCTTTTTATCCACTGGAATTAGAAACAACAAGGGTATGTGCGAACTTTTAATTAATAAAATAAAATGAAAAGATTTGAACAAAGTGGTAATTGTTTTTGCTTAATGATTTACAATTTTATTTCGAAAGTTTCTGTATTATTTTAAAAGAGTTGTTGCACATGTGAGGTAATTCATTGACAATTTTTATATTCATGTCCACTTTTAGAAAGATCGAATTAATTAACGGTCAATATCGAAAGTATGTTTATGTGATATTAAAATTTTAGGTTCGACTTTTGTTTGCTGTATTAAAACCCTGTAGATACTTATTATTGTTATTATTAATTTACTTGGAAATATTGTATTAATTCTTTCGACATAAGTAGTTAAAATATGCTCTAACTGTCGTAGGTTTATTGAGGTAATTTTTTAAAAGGTGGATCAGTTTCTAATAATTTACAAATTAAACTGCATTATTATAACTNTAAAAAATCTACTGGATATATAACTAATATTAAATTGTTTCAACAGGTTTCCATTAAATCATAATAAATGTACAAGGAGAGGGTACATCAAATGGACATGAAACGTGAGGAAGCAGAACCCCAATCACGCTTCTTTCTCTTGAGCTTGGAAAGGGTAAGAAATCTTTAAATATTTTATGAAGTTGTATTTATGAAATGGATGCAATTTTCTAAATCTATTACTCCATTTGTTTGACAATAATTACCACTAAAAGCTTTTACACTTGTGAATTGTAATAATTGGTGGAAGTTATGGTTCTTAAATATTCTAAAACATGATATTTAAAATGAAGCTAACATAATATTGTTTCAACAGGATGCATTTAAACGTATTAAATGAACAAGGAGACAGAAAATAAGAAGAACTCAAAGTCTGGAGAAATGGAGCCCTTTAATTTTCTCTGCCCTTGAGCATGAAGGTGCAATTTCCAGAAAATATATGGAATCCGAATTAGACTGATGCATAAAAGGACGGTTGCGTGCGATGTGTAGTTTATTCCACTTACTTCCTTTCATCAACATCTACTATTAAGAGGCACTTCTCTTTTATCAGCGGTTGGAATAAAACTCGAGCACGTATAGTGTTCCTCTAAGTGAGCTATTGTTTTGAAGTTACTCAATTATCATAGTAATTTGCCACCTGTAACATCTATGGTTTTAGTTCTAACAGTTATCTATAGTTCACAGCATAAATCAATGTTATCGTGTGTCGATGGGGTTCTCTTTTAACTATCTATTGTCTACTATAAATTGACATCGTGCATCTACGGTTATTTCTATTGCCTTTCAATCAACAGCTATCTATGACATGAATAAAGTTCACATCTCATCGCCATTTTATAATTTAGGTGTTTTATTTGCGTTTTTGTGCATTATTTTACTTAATTTAAATCTTTTTTTAATTGATTGTGTAACTAATACTCTTTTTTTGTCCATCTCTACAGATCGTCTGACAAATGGTAGAGAACTAAAGTTCGGGTTGATGGTACTGAAACAATATCTACAATGTTTGGTGGACTACATTCTTGATTTGCTGTTTTCGTCTTCACCTTGCAACATTATGCAGTTAATTTTCAAGTGATGAGTGAGAGCAGCTGAAGATTTATGTGTCTTCCACTGAAATAAGAAATTTTCTGCATTGGCATGCCTCTTGGATTTGATTTGCCTTTCACACCTGCAAACTTTGGAACATTACAGTCTACGGTTAATTAAGGTGAGAATACTTTATAAAATTAATTTGAATTGCTCCTTATTAATCTGTTACCACCGTATCTGTTTCAGATCGACGTTGGAGAAGATAAAGATGACCCCGTAGTTAAAATAGTTCTTTATCTTGCATGCTCTATGTAATAGAATTCAAGTTCATTCATTCAAATTAGTTTTTTATTTTGCAAGTTTTTTTGTAGTTTATTTTATTTAAATGAGTTTTTATTTTGCATGCTTATTTTTGTTCATTTTGTTTGAAGTAATTGTTGACTAGATGTTTTTGTTTTTTTTTTTATGTAGTAGTAGAAATAACACGTTTAGTAATTGTAGTATAGTCGTAACCTTGCTTACCTCTTCGCTTAGCTTACTGCATATTCTTCCTAATTTGCTTTGCATTTACCCTACGAGTTCTACATGATTCAACGTTTCGTTATCGTGTGTGTTTCTTCTCACCCTTGTGGAATTAGGGAGGGCCTCCCCGAACGACTTCCCTTGGGCTTAGCTATTTAGTTGATCTTAAAAGTGTCTTATACACTTTTCGCGAGTCTACTCTAGCGTTACTTCCTTTCAGAC